CCTCCTCCTCCTCTCCCACCCCCTGCCCCAGTCCGTCTCACCCTTGAATAGCCATCAGTTTCTGTTTCTCCTGACACTAAAAGCATGCATTTAAATCTTGGGCTCAAAGCAACTGTGAGAGTTAATGAATTGTTAGAAAATACAGAGGTGCCTCGTTTAACGGGTGCCCCGTTTAACAATGAAATTGCATAGCGACAAAGATTTTGCGATCGCTTTTGCGATCGCATTGCGATGTTTTAAATAGGGAAAAATCGCTTTGTGATGATCGATACCCTGTTTCGCTTACCGATCATCGCAAAGCGATGATTTTTTAACAGGTGATTGGTGGTTCCAAAATGGCCGCTGGGTAAAAAAAATGGCCACCCGCTGTTTTCTGGGATGGATCCCTCACTTACCGGGCAGCAAAAATGGCCGCCGTATGGAGGATTTTCGTTTAAAGGTGAGTCTGAAGCCCATAGGAACGCATTGAAGGGATTTCAATGCATTCCTGTGGGCTTTTTAATATTTCATAGCGACGAAATCGCTTTGCAGCGATTTTTGCTGCACCGATTATCGCCGCTATGCGAGGCACCACTGTACCTCAATTTTTTGAAATAAATATTACCTCCCCCTCATACACACACAAACCATTTTCTGCAGTGCCACAGCATGTTGCAAGGAGAAATTTATCCGGGAAGCTTCTCTTCAAAGCCCTAAGGAAAAACACTTATATGAGCGATGTTAATGATTGTTAGAGATTCTATGAATTTGGATATATTTGCTTAATTTGCATAACCTGCTGCTTAGCATAACCAACATAAGGGGAAAAAAGAGATGTGCAAGTCACTGAAGCCTTCTGCTGTAACAGAAAATGCCTAATATAATCCTTAATTAGCTTTCAACAGGAAAATAATTCAAGAGATTTCTCACCTATTGCTTGCCTCCAGGGGATCCTTCCAAAATGTGGGCTGGATAATTACAGCCAGTCCCAGCCTTCCCCACTGCCCTGCTTTGGTCCTTCAACACAGGGATTATGCCCGACAATCACAATCAAAGCTAGACTGAAGGCTTTCCTTTGCCCCCCCTTTTTTTTCAGGCTTGTTTGTCCAGTTAAGGCTCAGCACCCCCATCCTGGTCAGTGCCTTTGTTTACGTCTCAGAGGAGAAGTTGTAGGTCTCACAATTAACATTTCTTTGATCCTGGCCTCCCCTTCTCTCAAATGTAACACTAGTTTCTAAAAAAGATGCTCAGGGCATGAGTTTTCATTTATTATCCTAGGACCTGGTTAATCTCAATATCTGGATAAGAAAAAACTATGCTGGGGATCAAGATTTTGATCCCCCCTTTTTAAAAAAAAGTATTTATTCCTTCCTGTGGTAGGTTTAATTGGGATGATCTGATTAAAGGTATAATACGGTTTGGCTATAAATCCATTAAAATATTTGTCAGAGGAAAGAACTAGCGGATTTCAAAGAGGATCTTGAGATTAGGCTTTCCTCTAATCCCAGCTAGTTTAGCAACTCAAGGGCTGGGTGATACATTTTTCACTCCAGCAGGCAGAGCTTTCTGCTCTCCAGCAGGTGCTCAGCACATAAACAGAATGTGATGGGAGCAATCATAAAGGAATGTCATTTTAAAAGGGCATATGGGGGGGGGAGATGAGGCAATAGTAATTTAACCAGCTAAATGTCCCATAAAATAGGAAATGAGTGGAGCCCTGAACTCTTGGGCTGACCCTGGTTCCGCCTACATCTAAGAGGACTCATTCCTGAAAAAAATATTTGGTTGTTGGGAGCTACAGGGCCTTGCCTAAGTGTGTTCTTATCTGTTCCAGCAGTCTCAAAAGGAACGTGTCCCGTTTGGGACTGAAGAGCTGCTCAGAGAGCCCCAGCCTAGGAAATCAAGCATCCTGAAAAGCAGGCAGGCCATATTTGCTGCATCAGAAGCCTTTGACAAGATCCGAGCTGCGACGGGTGTCACCGAGGCTGATGTAAGAGCTTTGCCCACCCATGTTTTCCCAATTCCTTCCATGCTGCCTTCCTGACTGACAGAGATGAACAAGTAGAGCCATCCATGCAGTTCCTTACCTGAGTAAGAGGTCAATATCTTGTCCCCTGGTCAGCCGTCCACATTCAATGTTTGGTGCAGAACAGAATGGATCTGAGACCCCTGTAAGGGAACTTGACCAGCCTCATCTTCATAGGCGACATATCCTGAGGACTTTGGCAAGCCCAGCATGGCACTTAGGTTCCAATTCTATGTGCGCTTCCTATAATTGGGAGTAAACTCTAGAAGTAAGAAACTCAGCAAGGACCTCCTTCTGAGTAAACATGCATATGATTAGGATGTTTGGCTGCTTCAGGAAAGAAAGCGGCACACTTTTCTGCAATGTTGTGGAATCTGTAAAAGACAGTCTTCAATAAGTTATGTCTTACACTTGTCTTTCCAGTTTGCACCTGTCAAATTCATAAAGAGATGTAAACTGTTGTTATAGGGAGGGGATTTCTTTTTATAACTGTATTACTTGCCTGGAAGTGCAAATTCATCCACAATATTCCACTTTAAAAAAAAAAATCAAGGTCATCAAGCTGCCTTAGTCAGCGGCTACCTAGAAGATGCTGCCTTATAGTAATTTGTTTGATTTTCTTTTGATGTGGGATTCTCAGGAGGGGGCAAGGTGCAGTAGTATTCTTTGCCCCTTAGGCTAACCTCTAAACCAGGAGAGTACCAGACAAGAAATAGAACTGATATGTGATGTGATCTAAACAGAACTGAGTTTAGCTGCCCCTTTTCTGCTGGAGCCGTGTATTTCCCCTCCTGTGAGTCTGAACGGCCACATATTGAAACTCAATATTGACCTGCCTGCTCGCTCCCATTTTGCTGCAGATCTCATGATCGGTCCCTGCTGGTATGCGCTTGACGCCATAAGTTGATAGTTGCTCAGGGCACTAGTTATTCATGTGTGACTGCAAACATCTTCCACGCTCCATACACCAGCTGCTGCTAGCCAGTCAGGGCTTACATAGCTGCATTTGTGGCAGGCTCTGTTCTCCTGCTTCTTCCAGGAAAATCCCATTCATAAATTGCTTCCTTGTCTGGGGAAAGGGGTGTGATAAACTCATAACCTTGGCCTTCCAGCATTCCTTTGGGGTGCAGTCCTGAATGGAGTTTGTAACTTTACTTCCCAAAGCTCAGGTTAATAAAAATGGCTGTATGGAAACTCTTCCTCCACTTGCACCATTAGCTCAGCCTGCCACACCATAGCCCCAGGAGCACTTCTGCTGGGCCAGCAGCAAGCTCCGGCTTACCACCAGGATCCAATCTGCCCAGTTGATTCTTGCTCCCTGGTAGAAGCCAGACCTGGCCAAAAATAATAATCCTGCAGCAGAGTTGCCTTGAGGGGCTGGTTCTGTGGGCACAGGAGGGCAAAAGGCCAAGGGCACAATATCTGAATCTTGCTGCTGACGCAGTTGGGAATGGGGTGTTTATGGCCATGATTGAATAACTGAAACCATCCATTCTGGCAGGACGATAAGAACCTTGTGATTATTAGAAGCCACCCCCACCCCCAAACAGTTCCACATAGGAACCTGTGTGTCTCTGCTCTCCCTGCCTGAGGTCTGAGAGCCATACCTCTTGATATAAACCACTGTGCTTCTGCTAAAGAAGCCCATCATGCAGAATCTGTACTTTCTCTCCAGCTCCAGTATGAAGCAAGCTCAAGTGCTTATGGGGTGAGCAAGGAGGCCCACAAGCCAGTTGGGCCGAGAGCATCTTTGTGTTGGTTGTAGGCCCAGGGCCTGCAGCATCTGCTCATAGGAATCGGTGCTCTCAAGAGCCATTAAGGACACCCTGCCTTCAATGCTGTAATGCTGCTCACCCAAAGGGTTAGTCGTTCTGAAGTCACCACCATTGGGCCTGCCTGATACAGTACTTGCACACGAGGCAGGCATCGGTCGCACACCAGCTGCATGTGGTGCATTTGGCTTTTGTAAAACAAGTTTATTTTTCTTATTTTATTTCTACACCACCTTTCCTAGGAGGAACTGAGGGCAGCTCTCCATCTATCTAAAAAGACATTTTGTGCCAAAACCAAAAAACCAGAACTGCAAGCCCTGGAAACTTCCAGGAGTTGTGGTTCCGTTCTTGTTTAAAGCAAATCACCTGGTCTTGCTTGCCCTGTTCTCCTATCTTTCAAAATCAGATGTGGAATTCCATTTTTGTGGGAGAACCATGAGCAAGTACATTTTTAATGGGGTGCAGCAGACGTAAACTTCCTGGGGGTTGAAAACCAGCCCTGATTTAAAGAGCAGCTGGCAGAGTGGACAGGTCGCAGTCTAATACATTGTCAGCCCCTGTGATCTCTCTGCAGGATGTTGTGGCATGCTTCCTGGCTCAAGAAGAAACCCTCAAGCAGCTGGAGGAAATGAAGAATGAGAATGAAGAAGCCCTGGTGCGGCTTAAAGAAGAGAAGGATGCACGGCAACGGGAACTAGAGCATGTCAAGTACTCAGGAGAGGCCCGGAAGCTGGAGTAAGTGTGTACCTCGGCTTGCTTTATTTGACTGCCGGCTTTGCACACCCACAGTAGTTCATGCTTGCCACCAGCCATGCAGAGTGTGCTTGTCGTTGCTTCCTGCCATCCATTGTGGAAGGATACATCGTGAGTAAAGCCCGGAGGGTTAGGAACCAGGGCTCGTAGCTTTTCTTCCAGGGGTTCAACCCATCTCTCTTTTTTTTTGTCCCTACCATCACCACGCAGAGCCCAGAACTTGATGAAGGAGTTGTATGAACACTTGAAGAAAGAGGAGAAGAGGCGCGATGCAACCCAGGAGGAACTTGACAAGGTGAACCGGGTTCTGCTGGAAGCCAAGGCCGGAGTGGAGCATCTGGCCTCCAAAGTACAGCACATCAAAGTGGTGAGTGTTTACCTCTTGCCTGGCTGCTGCTACAGCAGCCACTTGTTCTACACACGGAGACAACAGCACAATCTGAAGCCTACCTGTAATATGCATGAAGTAGGCTGACACAATTTTTCGGCTGTGATTGGTAACGCTGCTGAACCGCTCATAGCCACCAGAGTCTCCAGTGTGCGGAGGTGACTGGGGCCCCACACTGGGGAGGAAAAGAGTAAAAGCTCAGAGGAAGGAAGGAAAGCTGGCAGCTGGTGGTTGTAGCAGGAGCCTTGAGGCAGGGCTCCTTGCTTCTGATCTCACTAGAAAAGTAGAGTGTAAAATAGAACAGAACAAGGAGATATCTCAACATTTGTTTAATGAACTATAATAAACCTGAAGCCTTCCTTAAGAAAGCTAAAAACAATACAGTGCATTTCAAACAAATGATTGGCAGCTGTTTGGAATAGGCATCATATATTTCAAGGACCCGTCAGACTGAAATGCAATGGGTTCATTCCAAGATATATTTTAGGAGTTTGTAGGTTGGTGCCTTTTTGTTTTCTTCCATTGATGGATGCTTGCCATTGTTTTTCTTGTTCAACTGGGGCAACAGAGAAGCCAGATTTTGGGCACTTGTTCTGCTTCTTTCTCCTTGTGGCCCAAGCTGAATAGGTTGCTTAAATTTCCTCACGGTCTTCCTTTGGACCAGGGCTACTAGGCATCTCTTCGTTTCCCTAGGAAGACAGCCGCTTCTCTTCAACCAAGTTGGATGAGAAGGCTAACGACTATGTGCTTGACCTCCTGGGCCAAACAGAGGAAAAGCTGCTGTACTTGCTGGAATTTCTCAAGGATCGAGATAAGCAGGAGCTTCTCCGGAGAATTGAAGAAGTGGAGGTAGGTCCAGATCAAGCTAAGAGGCCTAGACCAATTACATTGCCATTAACCTCCTTCAAACAGATGCTACCGTTTTGTTGTGGCTCTACACGGTTTCCTGCTTGCAGCTCACCAAGCAGGGAATTTCCAAGGGCAATTAGGGCAAGTAAATTGTTTTGCTTTCCCTGAACGAGTGAGTGCTGTAGGCATGTGGTGTCTTTGCTTGATCTGCACATGTTCAAGCAGAGCACTTTGAGAGCAGGCTTCCAAAGCTGTCAGTGCATGTGCTAAAGCTGCACGAGGTCCCCAGAGGAAGCACCCTGTGCCCTCACCTCAAGGCTGCACCCCTATTTCAGTTACTCTCCATTCTTGGTCTCTCTCTGCCTTGCTTAAGTTTAATCTAGCTGCTAACCCACTTAAGATCACATCCCAGCTATTAAGAAACATAAAGATTCTCTCTTTTTTTAAGCCTCTGACTGCACTAGGTGAAGGTCAAAATGTCACCTAATCAAAATAATCTCTGAAAACAATACTTTTCAAGTGGTCCTTATGGATGGTTTGGATGGTTGTTTTAGCTGTGTTACAAATGAGAAACAATGCTCAAGACGTTGATAGAAGATTCAAACTAGTGAATAGCAAACTAGTAAAATTTCTGTTCACACTGTAACTTCTTAGCCTCTGGGTGTGGAAGCTCTGGAGGCCCAGTAGCCAATTTCCTGCCTCCTAAGGACATGACAAGGGATACACCAATACCCTATATATATATAAAAGCTCAAAACAAAACAAAACAACACACCGTAAAAGTGCTCAGAAGCCTAGTTTTTATATAATTAAAACATACATTGGAGCTACATCTTTTTTTAAAAAGTGCTGCTCCTGCAGGACCCCAGTACTCAGCTGGACACCACACTTTAAGAAGGAGGTTAACAAATTGAAACAAATTGCCAGAAGAAGGCAACAAGATGATCAGTGGACTGGAAATCAAGCTCTGTAAGGAATGACAGAAAGAACTGGGCATGTTTAGCCTTGATATAAGAAGACAGAGTGTAGAGGTATGATAGCACTTTTCAAATGTATGAAAGGAAAGAAGGGGAAGATCTGTTCTCCATCCCAGAGTTCAAGATACATAATAATGGGCTCAAATTACAGGAAGCCAGATTTCAGTTGAATATGGGGAAAAAAATCTTAACTGTTAGCAGTATGGCAATGGAATCAATTACTTCAGGAGGTGGCGAGTGCTTCCATGCTGGAGGCATTTGAGAGAAAGTTAGACAGCCATGCGTCAGATCTGTTTTGATTTTGATTCCTGCACTGAGCAGAATGGCCTTATAGACCCCTTCCAACTCCATTATCTGATTCTGTGAATTCTCCTTTTTGATACCAGAAAAATTTGGCAGGAATCAGCAGCCATAGAATGACCATACAGACTTCATAATTCCCACCCTTCTCTTAGATAGTTTATTACAGCAAATCTTGGTTATCCATTTCCATTTTTTAAAAAAGGGTGCACTGTATAATTGCAAAAGTCATATATCCAAAAGTCATATATCCAAAGCCGACATAGCTGGACTGGGGGAAAGAGCCCAGCCAGAATTGCTGCGCTACCATCTTAGCCTTTTCATTGTCACACAAGCACATGTGCTCCGTCTCTCTCACTGACTACAGTTTTAACTCCATGTTGTGTTGTTGTTGCAGTTCCATTCGAAACTTGAGAGGAGGCTGCCAGCCTACAATACAAGGGTCAAGTTGCCCATTGCACAGAAACCTGACATGTACTATGGTAAGTAAGAGGCAGATTCTTGGCTGGGGATAGGTCAGCCTTTTAACACATCACCATGGAACAGAAACCACGTGCACAGGGAGATGCAAAACAGTCTCTGCCAGTACTCCTGTGCCTCTGAATCAGCACCTGTCTGTATCATGGCCACTTCACTGCACAGGTAGGTACATATCAGCACCTGTCTGTATCATGGCCACTTCGCTGCACAGGGATGTCTGCAATGCACAGGGAGCTGAAGACCGCTGTTGCCTTGTGACTGTGGACTATGAGCAGTTTTAGCTGTGCCACAGCTCCGTGAGAGTATGGCGTGTCCCCTGGCCACAGAACTCTGCTTTCTGGGGGGTTTCAGTTAAATTTTGAAACAAAACAGCCCTTATGACTGAGGCAATAGGCTTCTAAAAATAAAAGGCGAGCCTAGGGGTGTAATTTTTGACTCCTGGTACACAAAATGAACATGGCTGTGAGCTCCCTGGAATCTTCTAGCAAGATGCCATCTGCTTTGCGGCACAAGCCTCCCCTAGGTAGACCATCAGGGGCCTTCAACAGACGGCTGTGGGATGTCCACACTCGCATGTCTCACTAGGTGATACCTCGGTTGTGGGGTGTGAGCCAGAATATTCCTCCTCCTTGCTCCTTCGCCTTGTTACCTGGGCATAGTAAAGGCTTTCTGCGTGGTCGTGGGTTCGGTGGTAGGTGCCCTGCCCCCCCCCCATCACTTGGGAACTGAACCTTGTGGACCCACCAGGACTACATTCTTTGTTCTCTTCACAGATGAGGAAGACAGTGGGGAGGATGATGCAGATGTGGTGACACGAGCAGCCCTGAAGCGTCAGTCCCAGCAGATTGTAGAGGCTAAGACCAAACGTCGCAATCGCTACAGGAAGAAGGAAGGGAAACTGTGACTACGTCCTGTGTTGCCCTCCGTCTCCAGATCCTGCTGTGCTTCGAAGTCCTTGGCTATTAAAAGTGCCTCCTAGCCACTGGCCTCCTATATGAGCCAGTTCCACACTAACTTTCCATCAAGTTTGCAAACCCCAGGAAAACGAGGAGTATGACCCCGTGTGGATCCATTCCTCGTCCCTGTCCCCATGCGGGGCAGGCAGGGACCCACAGTGAGCTGCAGCCAGTGCATAGCTCCTGCTTCCCTGCCTTTCCGCTCCCAGCTATGTGCGAAGCATGGGTTCTTCAGTGCAGAAGGGACCCGGTTATCATGGAGGGAAGGGAGTGCTCTCTGGCTTCCTTCCAAGTTAACCCAAACTCTCCCTCCCCAAACACACAACTTTAAATACTGAGTAGAAGGGGGTTGGGACTACCATGCCCTTAGTTTGACTGGTTCTGCACCACCTACCATTACTGTACTTAATAGCCATAGTAAAGGACCTGTCTTTATACATAAGGGGAAGGTCACCGAGTGGTTCGATGTGGCTCACAGCCAGTCACACTCTCTGGTGCGGTAGATTCGCTGTGTTTGCTGTGTGTATGATGCAATAAACCCTGTTCAGGCTGAGTTGCCCCCCCACCCCATGTCTATGCCTCTGCTGGGATGGAGTGTGTTGAATTGGGCTCAACAGTTGGAAAGCAGCAGATTTGCTTATTCATGTGTTACATTTCTTTAAAATGTTTTTATCCCGTCTTTCTCCTTTAAAAAGGACTCAAGGCGACGATGATGGCAAGTTGAGTAAGGGGGGCATTTTTCATGTGGATCTGCTGGGTTACGAATCAAAGGTTATTCTTGACTATTTGGTTAAGACAGCATCCAGTGCTAGATGATTAACCCCTGGGGATCCAGCCTTTCCGCTATGATTAGCAATTCCAAATCCAGATTGCACGACTCTCTTTGTTGTAAACCACATTGCCTGGATAGCCCTGAATTAAAGGACCAGTGTGCCACCTAATGAATGTGTTGTGGGATTCCACATCTCTCGGAGCAAAACAGTGCATTCCCTCTTCTGATGACAAGCAGACACATAGGCTGGCAGGCAGCCAGAGCTTGCCTTGACCTTGCAGATCCCATGACTGAAATGTGATGCGGGAGAGCCAAGGTTGTGTTGGTGGCAAGTTCATGGTCAGGAGCAGAATGTGCAGACTCTGTTTTCAAATGACTCTGCTGTTACTTCATCTTTTTCTTTCCTTTTCTTTTTTTCATGTACAAGTTTCTAAGTTGTTATCCTTTTCCTGGAAGGCATGTGCTCCATTTGCCTCACTGTAGATTTCCTTGGTGCAGCTGATCCCGCCTCGCGTTCCTTCTCCTCCCTCTGCATAGAGAGCACTTCAGACACTTTCGATCTCCACATCCCTCTCCCAACAATCTGTAATCAAGGAAAAGCCATCCTTCTCTCACCTTGTGGGAAATGCCAAGATGGGTGCGACAATTCTGGTGCCCTGAATACATGGTTGAGCCCTGGAGGCTAATAGACTAAGACATTGATCTTTACCTCGTAGGTTAGTCCCCAAACAAGGGAATTGTCCTAACTTACAATACATTATGCCAGTGGCATCACAACACGTTTAACTTTTAAAAGACAAGCAGAAGGGAAGTTTAAAAGGAGGGGAGGCGAAGGGGATAATTGAACCGTCATACTTGAACTGCTAGGGAAATCCTAGGAACTGTAGTTTAGTGAAGGAATTAAACATTCTGATCGGGAACCCACCCCACCCTCCAAGATGACAGTTCTTGGGTGTATTAGCAGGAAGAGATGACTGTCTGCAGTATCAACACGTTCATAAAAAGGACAGGGAAGGAAAAAGAGTGTCATAGAATTAAAACAGTTAAATCTGGTTCCTACAATTAAGGTTCAAGCTGGGTTCCCTATCTGAAAAGTTTGCAATCCCTGCAGACTCAGAAAGGGCTTTTAACCAGTCTCCCTTCTCAGCATCTGCCACATTCTGTGGCCATTTAGTCTCTGGCACTTTGCTTACATGACATCCTCCTCCTGTTTTAATTGTCCAGGTCAAATATTTAAGAAACATGCCACTGAGCCTGTAAAAGGGGAGCTACATTTGTCCCTGTCATGTATAAAGTAGAGGACAGAGTTTAATTTTTTATTTCAGAAAGGACACCATGTTAGGGGAGACATCTTCTCTCCCTCTCCTCATTATTAGTCATCCACTCATCCTGTTTCTAAACCCAGCTCCAGTTGCAAAAAGGTAAAGGGGGAAGGTATTTCATACCTGTGACAAGGTAAGGCAAAGAAGTTGGAAACGTAATCTCCCTTTACCTGTTTATCAAATGTGATACAAAAACAACACTCCCACATATGCATATGAACCAGCAAACTTGAAGAGCAAACATTGCATCCATTAAACATTGCTATAGACTACGTATTACTGTAGCTAGGGGCAGTGTGATGACCCAACACTGGGAAATACCTGCCATCATGCAAAACCCAGTGCTCTTGTTTTCCTCCTGTTTTTTAGTCCTCTGGCATAGAAGGCTTGACTCATGGAAGATCATGGAGAATGAAGAAACACTCACCGGAAGCAGGCCTGCATTCAGGAACCCAAATCACAATATTGTGAAGGCATATGTGAAGTCTGTGAAGAAATTCTGGTTTATGCTTTCCTTTTGAAATCTCAAGCAAATTCACCTAGCATTTATAATTTTGTTTTGCCTCTAGCAAGCTTGCTAGTTCATCAGGATTTGTTCTAAATTGACACACTTTTTAGAGACCATTTCTTTCGTACAGAAACAGCCCTTTCTTTTAGTGAAACAAGAAAGGAAATCTGGAAAACAAAGCAGACTGGAAACATTCAATATACATTCCAATCACCAAGAAAGGAGGGTCCAAGGGGTGCAGTAACTATAGGGCCATTGCTATCATTTCCCATGGAAGCAAAGCGATGCTCAAGATGTTGTGATGAATAGTTTTGCTGTATAAGCCGGAAGAAGTATTGGATGTTCAAGCAAGATTCTGAAAAAAGAAGAGGAGGAGGCACTTGCAAATATACACTGGCTACTAGAGCAGAACAAAGAATTTCAGAAGAACAGTTTATGCTTTATAGACTGCACCAAAGCAGTCTGTGTGGGTCATGGAAAGCTAGGGACTGTTCTAAAAGAAATGGGTGTGCCTCAACACTTGATTGTCCTGATGTGTAACCTATACTCCAAACAAGGAACTATAGTGAGGACGGAATACTGAGAAACTGAATGGTTTCCTATAAGCAAGGACGTCAGACAAGGGTGTATTTTATCTCTATGTGTTCAATCTGTACACGGAACATCTCATACAGAAAACTGGATTAGGAACATCTTATACAGAAGGCTGGATGAAGAAAGAGCGAACATTGGTGTAAGAAACATTGCTGGTCTCATACAGAAAACTGGATTAGGAACATCTTATACAGAAGGCTGGATGAAGAAAGAGCGAACATTGGTGTAAGAAACATTGCTGGCAGAAAACAGCAATGTTTTGAAACAGTTTCTCATGGAAATGAAAGAAGAAAGCAGGACTCCAGTTGAACATTAGGAAAACAAAAATCATGGCTGCAAAAGAACTACATAACTTTAATGTTGACAATCAACAAATTAAAGATATTAAAAGTTGAATATTTTATACACCTTGGTTCAAGCATCAATCCAGAGACTTCAGGCAAGAAGTCAGGAGAGGACAGAGACCCAAAAAGGGCAGAAGTGAAGGAATTAGAAAGGATGTGTCATTGGGGATTGAGGCAAAGATCATCCACTACTGTGTCCTTGATTACTATGTATGGGTGTGAAAACTGAACAATGAAGAAAGCTGACAGGAAAAATGTATTTCTTTGAAAATGGTGCTGGAAGAGAGCTTTATAGATCCCCTGGATTGCCAGAAAGACAAACAAATGGGTCCTGGAGTAGTGGATTCTCAGTGCAAATCGAGGATACAGTAGTGGATTCTCAGTGCAAATATAACAAGGGTGACATTTCTGTATAACCAAATCTGATTGGCACACTATTGTTACAAAACTGCTTTTTGCTTACTCTCTAATTTGCTGGGGTTATCTAGTGAAAAATAAAAATTATGTAAAAAGGAGAGCAGTGGGAGTGGGTGGGTGGGAAATAACCAAATTGAAGAAGGAATGGGAGAAGAGAATACTCATATAGAAAGCAGTGTCACACAAAGGGAAATGGCCCATAGATGTTTTTGTAAACATGTTACTCTCTTGGTTGCACTGTCAGAAGTGTTAAGAAATAATCCTGTTTAGTCAGTTCCTTCATTTAATCCAGAAAAATCCAAGAAGCAGTTTACTGTATACTGAAAGAAACACAACTGTGGTGGGGCAGCTGGTGGGGCCTAACCACTGACGGGCCAACCTGGGAAATCAGCCAAGAGTCCTGTGGTCCTTTGAACATTTGCCAGTTTTATTTATGTACATTTTATTTATTTAAAATATTTTTGCCCCACCTTTCTCCTTGAAAAGGACCCAAAGCAGCTTACAACGGTGAGAGACAATATTTAAAGCTAAGAAAAATGAATATACAATTAAAAAAACAAAACAACAATGCCACTCTGAGAAATGGCAAACCCAAGAGTCCTGTGGTCCTTTGAACATTTGCCAGTTTTATTTATGTACATTTTATTTATTTAAAATATTTTTGCCCCACCTTTCTCCTTGAAAAGGACCCAAAGCAGCTTACAACGGTGAGAGACAATATTTAAAGCTAAGAAAAATGAATATACAATTAAAAAAACAAAACAACAATGCCACTCTGAGAAATGGCAAACACCACTAGTACTACACATCCAGTCAAAACAGTCACGCATAAAAATGTTGTGTGGTATCTTTCATGGGCTGTAGTCCGGGTAGTGCAAGGATCCCGGTGTAGTTGCCGTCCTCTCTGGAAGCGGGATGCGAGGAAGGAACGTCACCCTCTCCTTCCTGCATCGACTCAACCTGATGTTCTGAGGAAATGTCTGAGGGCCAAGGGCCCCCAACCTAAGCGCCTGGTTTGCTTGCGGCTCCTACGACCGCGCTGGCCCCGTGGGAGGGAGGCTCTGACTGAACCCGTAGGAGGTGAGTGGGATTCCGGTTGAGGGCTTTGAGCCGGACGACGGGCAGAGCAAGGTGCCCCTTGCTCGGTCCGTGAGCCCCCCCCACACACACACCAGGAAGCCAGGCTACCGACGCCCGTCTTTGCGTGTGCCTGAAATGCAACCCCAGGTTGGCACCGAGGGCAGGACCCCCATCCCCACCCCCTTGCCCCCGAGAGTCCTTCCTGAACGAGGAGGGGGGCACGGTCACAGAGAACCAATCTATCTGTCCCGGAGCAGCGCGAAAGAGACTCTTCGCCCCACCACCCCAAACTCGGGCGGGTCTTCCCAACCTACGCCCCTGCGTAAGCTGAACCTTCCCGCTCGGGCGCGGGAGCGGGCGCGCAAGTTCCCCCAGGCAGGGCAGGCGGACTCGGCCCCGCCTTCCTGCCTGCCTTCTTCCACTCCCCACTCCCCCCCGCCGCCCCCTC